CCCCCCCATGACAGGTGGGAGATCCTCTCACTGCACCTGCTGTCACAATTTGAAAACCGCACAGCTCTGCCCTTTTAGCTGCATCATTCACTCACACAGACCTGTGAATGAATGAACAAAGTCCCGTCTGCCAATGCGGTAGGTGGCTTGTAATTCTCAATGGACTGAGTGCTGATGCGCTCCCTCATAGTTCATTGCTGTTTCTGCACACTTTGGTAACTGCCCTTAAGTGTCTGCAAGAGCCTGACATCCGCTGATAACGGGTGCAATGCTCTGCAGGCTTAAAAAAAAAAGTAAATGCACTTTTTTTTTTTCCTGCAAAAAATGTGCTTTTTATTTTTTTAAAGTTAACTTGTCCTTTTAACGTTAATTCATGTACTGCTTCTCTCGTAAGACTACGGTTGCTGCTCTGTTCATGGTTTAAAAAAAAAAAAAAAAAATTTTTAATCGTTTTCATGTTTGTTCCACTTTTATCATTTTAGGTTGCCTTTACCCAGCAAATCCGCTGACTGGACTCATTTTGGAGGTATGCCTTTTTTGTTTTCTTTTTATAGCACATAATCAAGTAGAGGTTTTAAAGCCAGTTTCATTCCCAGGTGAGGTCTACTTGATCTTTAAAAAGTTTAGCTACAGACACGGCCAGTAACACAGTGACTAAATTCTTCTTGAGAAATCTTCTGACCAGATTTTCTCTCCTGAGTAAATTTCTACTTTTACACCCGATTCTCAAAATACTCGTCAGTAGTATTGAGAGGAACGAAACAGCAGGAGGAAGGGAAAGTATAAACTACATGTGTCGAGTCGTTTGCAAATACTGACTTTTAGTGACTGTTAGTTGCTCACATGTGCTTGTGATGATTCCTCTCGCCTTAGAGTGAGATCTATGAATCTGCCTTTTCACAGTGTATCACAGAAATCTGTAATCGCTCACAGGAAACATGATTTAATTTCTAATATGTACATGTACATGTATGTATGTACATGTATGTATTCGTACAGACAGTACTGTGCAAAGGTTTCAGGCAGGTTTGAAGAAATGCTGTAAAGTAAGAATGCTTTCAAAAATATATTTATTTTTATCAATTTACAAAATGCAAAGTGAGTGAGCAGAAGAAAAATCTAAATCAAATCAATATTTGGTGTGACTACCCTTTGGCTTCCAACCAGCATCAATTATTACATTTGCACACTTTGGCTATACACTATACAATTTTTCTGCCCAATTTTTTTTTAGATTTACCTTCAACTATGTAGCATAAAGGCCTGCCTAATTGGATACAATTGAAAGTGTTGTTTAGGTTTGACCTCCTATTAAATAGTTTTTGGTAAATCTACAATTTTCTTTAGAATTTTGCTTTTAATGTATGGCCAGCCTTTCTGCACTTGCACATAGTAAGGCTAGCCATACACTAAACAATTTTCTTACAAATGTATGCCCGATTTCCTTTAGATTTACCTTCAACTATGTAGTGCAAGGGCCTGCCTAATTGGATACAATTGAAAGTGTTTAGGTTTGACCTCATATTATATGGTTTTTGGTAAATCTAAAGCACAATTCTCAAGAAAATTGTGTAATGTATGGACAGTCTTAGGCTGGTCATACATTATACAATTTTCTTGATTTTTGCTTTAGATTTACCAAAAACCATGTGAGGTCAAACCTAAACACTTTAATTCTATCAAATTAGGCAGACCCTCGCACTACATAGTTGAAGGTAAATCTAAAGGAAATTGGGCAGAAGTGTGTAAGAAAATTTGTATAGTGTATGGTTGGCCATACATTATACAATTTTCTGCCCAATTTCCTTTAGATTTATGTTAAACTATGTAGTACAAGAGCCTGCCTGATTGGATACAATTGAAAGTGTTGTTTAGGTTTGACCTCATATTATATGGTTTTCGGTAAGTCTAAAGCAATTTTCCAAAGAAAATTGTAGGTATGGCCAGCCTTAAGCAAAATTCTCAAGAAAATTGTATGATGTATGGCCAGCCTAACCAGTTATACCAAGCAGGTGCTAGCAATCATCAATTTCATATGTAGGTTGAAATGGTCATTAAAACAGTAGTAAACCCACAAAAAAAATCTATATTTCTCCCTGCAATATAAGAGCATAATGTGCTAGTACACATTGTATACTAGCACAAAGACTTGCCTGAAAACGAAGCCCTCAGCTCAGCGCTGTCACAGCTCCCTGAGGCTTCCATCCTTACAAGGTCTTCCTTCTGTGTTTGTGGGCAGCGGCCGTTTGACTGGCCAAGCTGCCGATGACGTCACTCCCACGCATGCACACGGGAGTTTTTGCCACGGGACGGCTCTCTCATTGGACAGCATGCTGTCAACTAAGAGTGCAGTGCGCATGCACCAGTGGCATCACCAGCGCTATTACAGTAAATATCTCTTAAACAGTGCACGTTTAGGAGATATTTACAGTACCTACAGCTAAGACTTATTAAAGGCTTACTTGTAGGTAAAACATGGAAAAACAAGGTTTTCTTCCACTTTAATTGAAATAGAAACAGATGTGAAGGAAGCTTAAAACTGGGTGAGGAACAGCCAAACTCTGCTACTAAGTTGAGGTTGTAAAAGACAGTTTGCTCACTCTTGACATTCTCAATGACCTGTGACAAATAAACACAGGTAGTTATACTGCAAGATCTCTCCCAGACAAAGATTTTAAAGCATAATTAGGTTTCAAGATGTGCTTTTTTTAAGGTCTGTTGACAGAGCACAACGAAATGGGCAACATTGAGGACTGTAGACGCAGTGGTCAGCCAAGAAAACTTAATGCAGCAGATGAAAGACACATCATGCTTACTTCCCTTCAGTATCCGAGAATGTCTAGCAGTGCTATCAGCACAGAACTGGCGGAAACCAGTGGGACACAGTTACACCCATCTAGTGTCTGGAAAAGTCTGGCTGGCAGTGATCTTCATGGAAGAATTGCTGCCCAAAAGCCATAACTCTGACATGGAAGCACGGCTAAACGACTCAATTATGCATGGAAACATAGGAACTGGCGTGCAGAAATATAGGCAGCAGGTAGTCTAGACTGAAGAGACCAAAATTTTGAAATATTTGGCTGTAGTAGGAGGCAGTTTGTTCTCTGAAACTTGAGGGCGGTGGAGGTTTCTTACACGATTGGGGCTGCATTTCTGCACAAGGAGATTTGGTCAGGATCAATGGTGTGCTTAATGCTGAGAAATACAAGCAGATACTTAACCATCATGCCATATCTCCCAGGGAGGCGTGTGGTTGGCCCCAAATTTTATTCTGCAGCAGGACTGTGACCCAAACATGCAGCCAATGTTTTAAAAAAATATCTTGGGTGTAAAAAAGAATGAGGAGTCCTGGAAGTGATGGTTTGGCCCCCCACAGAGCCCTGATCTCAATATCATGGAGTCTGTTTGAGAACTAATCATAGATCTTCTGTGGAACAACCGACCTGCCGTGTTCCTTTTAAAAACTGTGCAAGTGTACCTAGAAGAACTGATGCCGTTTTGAAGGGAAAAGGGTGGTCCCACCAAATATGGATTTCATTTTGGTATTTTTCTTCGGTTCATTTACTTTGATTTGGTAAAGTGGTACTAAAGCTCTCCCCCTCACCTCCCTTCCCTGTGTAAAGGGGAAGAGAGGGGAGAATAGGTCCAGCACTGTGCGCAGCTGCAACTCTTCTCCCATCTCTTGCTTTTCACACAGTCAGCAGCTACAGAAGCCATTGGCTCCTGCTGCTGTCAATCAGATGCAGTGAGGAGGAAGTGGGGGTTGGGGCTAAATCCTGCTGTGCAAGTTAGTGAGCATGGTTCCATAGACACACAGTTCAGGAGCGTGGGGACACACTAAGAAGAGGAGCCAAGATCTCCGACGGAGGACGTGAGAGAAGGGTCAGGCCAGCTCTGTGCAATACCTCTGCACAGAGCAGGTGAATATAACATGTCCAAATGTTTTTTGTTTTTTAAATTAAGACTTTTTAGTAACACTTGATAAAAAAATAAACTATTTAAACTTCTGTTTCTGAAATACATTTTAATTTACAGGTTTTTTTTGTTTAGTTTTTTTTTGTTTTTTTTTTTATCCCTGACTAAAACTTTTGCACAGGAGAGCATATACTGTGTGTAAAAAAAAAAAAAAAAAAAAAAAAAAAAACCCACTATATTGGCATTTATATTATGCTGTGCTATACCAAGAATTAGTCCTTTTTATATTTCACCGTACCAGTTGTATAGACTTGATTTTACTCCTCAGGTTCCCCCCCAACTGATGAGATCCACACACTGCGAAACCAGTTGGTGCTTCTACATAACCAGCTTTTGTATGAGCGATTCAAGAGGCAGCAGCACGCTCTGCGCAATCGCCGTCTTCTGCGCAAGGTCATCAAGGTGACAACACTTGAGGAACAGAATGCTGCCATGGTAAGTTCTCTCTAATTCCTGGGAGAAAACAATTTTAGGGAAGGGGGGGTGGGAAATGAAGAGAATTTTTAAAAATTTAAGGTGAATCTGTATAGGGGTTTGCATACATGTTCTGTGTGTGTAAGTACATTTGGTGGGGCAAAGGGGACAGGTCAGAGTGCTCAAAGTTTCAGAAATCAAGACTGTCCTAGCAACATAACAACAAACTCCGCATTGAGCTACCACAACTTCCATCAACCACCAGAACACTTTTGATTACTCTACTTTCTGTAATGATCACACCAGTTCAATTTGAAAAAACCATTCTCAGATCACACCAAACTTCTCACATTAACCACATAACTGGCCTTAATTATTGTGAGTAGACTGATAGTTGTATTCAAGCATACGCTTTCTACTCTTTCTGCATAGAAGGCACATTCACTCATAGTTCCAGCTGAAATAAAATTGAGTGCCAGATGTAGTGTTTGCTTTATTTCTTGTTACTCTTATTTAGTTAAGGACAAGCATATTGCAGTCCGGTAGCATGTCTATAAAGCTCATGAGCAGCTGGAGTTTTTCACCTGTAATGGGCTAATACTTTTCTTTTAGAAAGGCCAGTTGAAGATACAGGAATATGATCTCCATGCTATGAAACAAAGCCTTTATAAAGAGCAGGCATGGTACAAGAAACTACAGGAAGAGAAGGACACTGTGGTCACCCAGCTTCACAGCCAGATCCGGCAGCTTCAGCACGACCGAGAGGAATTCTACAACCAGAGCCAGGAATTACAGGTGGTGCTTCAGATTCGGTCAACATCAATTTATCTTTACAAAAAAAAAAAGCTACAAATGGTAGGGGATCCTTATTTTATAAACAAAATATCGCCTCTGCCTATTTTATTCATTCATGGATTATGCTCCTCGATTTCTTTTCTGCCACTAGATGCCCTCAGTCATTGCACTGCGGACATTATGTGAGCGCAGGTCGTCAGGTGTCTACTCTCATGTGGCATCGCTGTGGCATCCTTTTTACTTAGTGTATTGATCTATAGACAGGCTCTGATGTCATTACTTCAGCGCTGATCTCTGGGTCACTATGGACTACAGGAGTGGACTCAAAGGGCTCTGTGGCATTGTATGACCAGCCTGTAGATTTCTACAACAGGGGATGTTACCACAGTGCCCCACGCTCCTATACAGGAATGCACAGAGCCTTGCTGACCACCCATTTTATCCAACCAGCCTAAAGACCTCTGCAAAAGCTAACTATTAAAATGTAAACAAAAAAAAAAAACTAGAGGGAAGCCCAAATTTGGGCTTTGATTAGAACATACACCGATGTTCATGGCAACTCTGCCAGTCTGTTTTGTTTAGCGTCCGCAAAGGAAATACATTTCTGGACCTATTCATTTGGTCCTCTGTGGGAAGATAAAGAAAACAATACTCCAACTTCCATAAGTCATATGGACACTCTGAGGAGGGGTGGTACCACCGGGCCATGTTTATAAAATCTGGTACTAAATTTGGGCAAGTAGAGTGGGAGGGCAGGGGTTGGTTTGCCTGAAGATGGACTTCTAAAGTTGGAAGCATGTCCACACGGGGGTCACCCAAGCAAGCAGCTTGCTACGGTCCACTTAGAAGAAGAGGAAGCAGACAGCGCTGACAGGGGACCACCAAAGATAAGTCAAGAGACAGCTCTGTGCAGAGAGTAAGGAAGGATAACTTTTTTTTTTTTTTTTTTTTTTTTTTTTTTAAAGCAAAAAAGTGTAACTTTTAGTATCTTAATTGAATAAACCTGCATATTGTTTACAGTCAATACTAACATGATCCTTATTGCATTGGCACAGACTAAGCTGGAGGACTGTCGTAATATGATAGCTGACCTGCAGTCTGAGGTGAAGCAAGCTAACAACAAGGTGTGCAACACTGAGCTCAAACTCAGTCAGGTGTCTCAAAAGGTGAGAATTGTCTGTCACTACTGTGTGCCCATTTTAGTCCAATAAGTATCCAGCGCCCTTGTTTGTTTTTATATTGCAATGCCCATCTGCAAGGCTACCCCTTCTGCAGGGCCAGATTATGGTATTGGAGCCTGGGAAGCGAAAAGTATGGGGTCTTTAGAACCATGGTGGTCCTTTTTAATGACAGAGAAACAAGTCTTTACTTCTCTGTACTCCTTCTATGCAGTATAAATGGGTAGATGATTAAGTAAACTCTGAACACTCCTGTCAGTCACTCACATTGTCCCAACATTTGGTCCTGTCCTGAGCAGACAGGTAATGAGATGGTATAAGTCATCTAGCAATAGAAGGTAACGTTTATACTAATAACTCCCTAAAATACTCTATAGCTTACCTTTTTCTATTGGTCCCGTCTGGTTTGATTATTTGCCATTGTTTTCTCCTTTTTTTTGGGGGGGGGGGGGGGGTCATATACTGTATGCTCTAAGCACTAATTGTTGGCTGCCTTTTACTGTACAAATAAGGTCCTCTTGTGTGTTCAGATAAAAGAAGCTTTATCCATTTTAATGCAAGGGGTTTTTTAAGAAATATTGAACATTATTCATGTACTTGCACCACAGAGTTCATCAGCTTTCATGAAAGAGCTGAGGGCTGTGTAAAGTCTGAGCCCTTATCTGGGATTACTAGTAAAACTGTTTTTCTTTTGTAGTCCACAAATTTTTCTTTGACTGTTTGGCCTATGCTGCTTTTCTTACAGAAGAAATGGACACTACCAACAAAATGCCATTGGCCTGCACAGGGTAACCCCTCCCACAACCATTTTATATCTTATTTTTTGCTAGTGTCCTCAGTGAATGTGTGGAATTTCTGCTATCAACAGCTGCTGGTAGCTTCATGCTGGATTAATTATTGGTAGTCTCTCTGGGCAGCTTAGAAGTGTAGGTTTTCCCAGCTCTATATTGGTGAGCTTTCTGCAACGGACCTGTATTCTGACATCCCGTCTGTGTTCCGGTTGCCACAGGACTCTGCTATACAGGTCAGGCCAGTATGTCTAGATTTTTTGCTGCGCTTTTTGAACCAGAGCTGCAGCAGATCATTTAACATCTCTGAAGACTTCATGTTATGTATTACTATCGTCCAGTTTCTGTGGTAAAATGGTTTTATCTTTTTTTTTTTTTTTTCTTTTTTTTCTTTTTTTTTTTTTTTTACCATTCCCATACACAACAGGGGCCTATTTTTTATATCAAGTTCCACATATCTTTATTTGAATCCTTTCACCAATAAGTGTTTCTGATTTCTGTGAACGTCAAAGATCATGTCCCCATTTTTCTAGCAAATCTACATTTTGCTGTGAGGCTCCTACAGTAACAGCTTGTGGCCTTGATTTTCAAACTGTTGTCTGTACCTCAGATCAGGGCTATCTTTAATATTCATTGGACCCTGGGCAAACAGGTTATTGAGGGGGGAAAGAAATGGTGTCAGCAATGGCACACGTGCACTCCCAAGCATCTTGCTGCTTTTTTTTTTTTTTTTTTTTTTTTAATACAAAAATCTGCCCCTCCCCCAATGATTTATTTTTATGACTTTTGATTACTTTTACACTTTCTTGTAAAACAGAACCCCCCCTTAACCAAGTCCTGCCTGCCTGTTGTAAGAATCAAATCCAGGTCTATGATAGTCTTCCAGGTGCTGTGAGACTACAAGTCTCATCATACCCAGCAGCTGGACAGTCACATGCAATGTGTAAAAGTTAGTAACCAGCAGAAGTAGTGTGATCCCTCTCCCCTCCCTCCAGTATCTGTAGGTGGGGCTGGCTGTCCCTGCCGGTTCATCACAGCAGTCACCTGTTATCCTTGTGTTTCCCGCAGCCACGCTGAGGTTGCACAGACAGATGGGTGTCCTGCCCACCTCTGCTCTAGGGTGATCTCAGAATGCAGCTTGGGAGAAGTTGTAGCAAAGTTTGGGTGGTGTTTTGTAAAGTGGAGGGAGCATGCAGGGCAAGGAAGGACCAAAGTACTATGCGATTGCATAGTAAAACTAAATAAGCAAAAGCTTGTTTGTGGGCACAAAAGCTTATTTGCGGGCAGCACAAGCTCAAGAAGGAGCTGCTTTGGGCCCCACATCGACTGGGCCCAGGGCAGCTGCCCCTTTTGCCCCACGTTAAAGACAGTCCTGCCTCAGATGTTCATCAAAATGTTAGCCCTAGTGTAAGACCTGTTGCTCGCTCATGGTATCCCCATTGTGAATACTTAGATGACCTCTTGCCCCGATTAGGGTGGATCCTGAATCTTCAGAAATCATTATTTGGAGTATATTTGTTTAGTCACTGCTCGTGCCAGTTTTCTTCCATAGGAAAATGTCTGAAGCTTCAGTCTTTAAAATGAAAATCTAAGTTCAGGAATCACTTGATCTCTGCTTTTGCGTGAGAGTTCTGATCTGATGGTAGCATCCTTTAAGACCAATTTGCCTAGCTTCATTCCAGATCAGACATTCTATCGTTGTGGCAAATCTATCACATTCCTGGTCAGACGGCATCGAGAACCAATTTGTCCCTGGCTTAATGATTGAGGAAGCCAGCTCTGGATTTTAGGGAATTCCTTCATTCCCACGTTCTGGTAGATTCTAACGCTGGATGCCATCCTGTCAGGCTAGGAGGGGATTTTGACAGTGTGTGAACCTGGTCTACTGATCATCCTGAAACTTCAGGTTAATTTGGCTGTTTCTGTAGTTTTGAGTCAATCTGCTAGATGTCTAGCTGATTTGGATTCAGCTGTATTTGTGATATATGTTGACTATCAAAGAGAAATTCGACTTTGTCATGGCAAGAGAGGTGGTTCAAATTCTGTCCTGCACAGAACTTAGCTGATTATTCTGCCCAACTTATTCAATCAGCAGGTGATCTTCCTCAGCCAGCAAAGCGTCTATTCACAGGAGTTATTCCTACACCTGATAGTGTTCCAGGACCTATTTCGCAGGTGGGGGATGCAGAATGTGGACCTTTTTAGGTTCAATAACTGACAGGTTGTCACAGATAAATGGATCCTCTAAGGAAGCAGTGGATGCTCAGTTGACTGAGGGATCAGTACACCCTGCGTTAGCCAGTGGCTTTCTGGTTGCCATTTCATCTGTAGGAAGGGCAGTATAACAGAACAGTCCAAGAATTCCTATGTTCCTTTAATGGACTCCCAAGAAAAGGACTTTAAGGTGAGTTAAAGAGTCTGTTTTCAGGGGCAAGGGTGTGCTTCCATAGATTACTTTTTGCCTGTGACCTGTCCTTACTTTTTTTTTTCTTGTTCCTCTGGAAAGCTGTCAAACAGCGAGTCTGTACAGCATCAGATGGAGTTCCTGAACAGACAGCTTCTGATCCTTGGGGAGGTGAATGAGCTTTATGTGGAACAGTTGCAGCATAAAAACACTAATGCCGATAAGGTATGTCATATTCTGCATACATACATTATTGCTGAAATTGCCTGATAAACAGCCTGCTGTTCCCTTGTATATCAATTTGTGAAGCCAAAATGTTTCCATTTGGGTAATTGAGGCAAGGGTTAAAGCCTGTTGGCGGTTTGTCTGTATCCCTATTAAAGATATAATAATAGGTTATAGATATCAGATTATCTGTATTGTACAGGCTACAGAAATCAATTCATAGACCATGAGTTGTATTTTTCTACCTTCAGGTGATTGGACACTGGTTTTGCTGGGTTTGCCCCCTTGTGTCCCCATATAACCCTGCCAACTGTGTAAGGTTCTAGTTTTTTACTAGTGTCCTTAGGTGATCGATGCCTTCTCCTCTCAGAAAAATTTCCTACTATTTTTTTTTTTCACCAGATGTATTTACCTCCTTAGACTGACACTTCTGTCAACATCAGACTGTATAATGCCTTCAAAACTCACTAGCAGCTTCCAGGTCGGTGGCCCTTAGGCACACCTTGGAAACTGTACCTGGCTTTTGCAGTAAAAAAGAAAAAGGGGATGGCCTATAATGTATGTTTTGGGCACTGGATCCTGTGTTGGATACTCACCTTGATAAGTGGTACAAGAAGCGGGGATTTTTTGTAGATAAAATAAGTGCACTATATCCAGTAAACACAGTGATGTGGATTGTTGCCATTAATGGGCAAGGTGTTTTTTTGACATAAGTAAGGTAAGTGGCCTCACTGGGCAGATTACAAGAGTGGTGTGAACATAATTTTTAAAATGGACTGTATAGGAGGTGAAAAGATTATGATGGACTTTGATATTTTCACGATCGATTGAATTTATTTATATTTTGATTATGTAATTTGTTTATTCACATTAATTTCTAGCAGGATTTATAAGTCTATTTTGTTTGTGTGGGACGTTTGGATGTGCGATTACTCAACATTAGCTGCTGCAATCAAATTACATTGAGTTTGGATATGCAAAAAAAAAATATATATATATATATTTATTTTTGGAGAGATTCACGTATAATTAAGTGGCAGTGTGAGATATTTTGAAATAGTAGCTGCATTGTTATCCTCCCCTCGATTTATTGCTTTGGGATGTCCCATGGTCTGTGTGTCCTATATGATAAAGAGGAGTTTTGAAGTGCCTCTACAGTACTAGACATGGATCCCTTCCCGCTCTGCTATCTTTAAATTGCTTGCTGACAAAACTGGAGCCTCACTCAGTGGATAGGGTTATATAGGGACACTAGAGCGCAGACCCAGTAAAGCTTTTGTCCAAATCCAGTTCAATCACACAAATGCAGTGGCATATATAATCCATAGTATGAATCGATTCTAGTGTTCTGTATTTCATGCTCTCTACAGAGCATTGTGCAACCTCAAGTGAATCCTGTATTAGAATTTAAACATCTACAGAGCCCCTTTGCTCACTGTAGGAAGGCATAACTGTCCCCCAGTTATTCCATGGCTATATCCAGCCATTAGGTTGTTGTGGGCTGTGATCGGGAATGAAAAGCCACACTTCATTTTTGAAATCAAGAATTTGGGAAGTATTCCTCAGCAGCTTTACTGTTAAATTTTCATGACCTAAAGAATAGTGCAAAAAAGGCTGATCTTTGCAGAAATCCAGTTAGCTTATAAACCTTGTGTGCTTTGCCTCTGTAGCACTGAAATTTCAAGGGGTGTTATCAGTTCTGCCCAGTTCACCCCCTATGTTTTGGAGATTAAGAATGAGGGAGGTGTCTAGATTTGGAGCGAATAGCCTAAGGTGGCACCCCTGCTTTTTTATGAATACAGTCCAGTGAGTGAGCGTTGTCACCCCAGGGTAGAATGTATTACTGGCAGTATCAGGTGAAAATTATAGGCTGGAAAAAATCCTGAAAACCAAAAATGAATGCAGCCACCACATTGAAGGGCTAGTAATCTGCAATGTTATGCTTTTCTTATAAACCCTTTGGCTTCAAACCGGTTTCTTTCTTGTGCATAAGACCTAGGAATTCAAATACACTCGGGTTATACTGTCACCTACGGGAGAATTGGACACTGTCAAACAGCAATTTTGTGGGGCAGCCCCATACAACCCCTTCTACTCTCAGCATGTCTCAATTTTTTGCTTAAATCTTAGGAAGATTGATGCTTTTTTTTTTCTCTCATCTGCTGAGTAAAGTCTAACCTGTTAGCTACTTTTTTTTTTTTTTTCCTTCATCCAAGATTCCTGCTACATTGCTGCTGAGCTGGACTCCTTACGCAGCCATCTGTATTGGGGTTTCCTTAGCCTAACTTTGGAGTTCCATACCTTGACCCTGCTGGACTGGACATTGCATGGCTAGTCTGGAATGTGAACTTTGTGCACTGGGCTTTGCATTGTGTTGATTTCCAGACTGGAGTGTACTAGTGAAGTTGGCAATGGAACACTCCCTAGCTCCAGAACTCTGGCACAGCCCTAGGTCTGAGCCTGTGTCTGAAGACTCTCGCTTTGTAGGTAATTCATACGGATAGAGTATGGGGAGCTATCTTATCTATTACTAAGACTGATGGGCACCTTTTTAAAATTGCTTTCCAATGTTATTACCGCAGAAGGGTGAAGTGCTGTGTGCACAGGTCCCAGTATACTGTCCACAGCGGATTTCTCGCTCTGCATTGCTGCCATTCACATTCATTTTTGACAGTGATTGCAAGGTGTTCTCTGAACAAGTTGGAGAGGAGGGGCTGTAAAATCACATGCTCCACCTTGCTGGATCAGAGAATGCCTTGTATTCTTTGAATAAAATACAAAATGTTTTGTGAATGGTGTTGGTGCTGAGTTGAGAGATCAGTAAGCAGTGGAGTAGCCCGCTCAGCACAGGACCTGGAAGATTGTGGTAATCATAGTATCGCTGACTACTGTATTGATTTTCAGCTTCCACAATGGGCCCTCAGGTATGAGATATGCATGCTTACATCTGTTCAAGCAGGACCAATATAAGTGTGCAATTAGGATCATACTTGTAGTCCAGCTTTAACAGTATGGCTGTGAAGCCCAAGATCTGTGAGACAAAGGAATCCTTTAACTGGCGATTCCCACATAAAGCTCAACACCTAGGAAGTCTGCTTCCCGCAAAGTCTATCATTGCACATGAGGCAAGAGATTTTCTTCCTGGTTGATTCTCAGTGGTGTAAATCATGGCCTTTTTCAAATGTGCTTGGATCAGCATTTGGCCCTTAGTACCATCAACGGGCCAGGTTTCTGTGCTGGTAATCTTATTCCAGAATCCACTAACTTGCCTTTCTTCAATGATTACCTTTGTGCAGTGTGTCTTCCATGTAACTTCTGCTGTGTGCTGCCTCCATGGAATATGAATTTTGTTTCTCTCTGCGCTTCAAAAGCCACCTTTTGAACGTATCGGGGATAATTTCCTTTCCACTTTTGCTTACAAGGTTGCATGACTTGTTGCCATCACCTCTGAGATGAGTCTAAACTAGCAGCCTTATCTTGTAAAAGAACTCTTTCTGGTCTTTCACAAGGAAAAATTGAGAGTGTCATTGCATTCCTACGGTAGTTTTCATCCTTGCATCTCAACCAGAATATCGTTCTTCCATTTCTGTTTGGACCCAGTTCAACAAAACGAGATCTCCCTCCATTGGCTGGATAATAGGAGCAGTGGCTGTGAGGTAAACCAGCACAGCATGACTATTAGAACTCCTTGTCATTCCTAATGGTCCCTGTAAGGGAGCACCAGCTTCTCATGCCACCATTCCTTTGTAATCTAGACAAACTATCTTTTTACATTTTATGATGCTTAAGCTTTGCTCCCTTTCTGTCAAGGCCCTACTTGTATATTGGGATTTTCTGGTTCAAGAAATAGTTTTCCATATTTGCAAGCTCTGTTCTCTTCACACATTCTCAAAGATCTACCAGGAGGATGTCCAGGCCTCATCTGATACTATCTTCAGACATGAGGTCCATCAGATGGCTCTTGAGCTGCAGGCAGTCTGCATTTATGGTGTTTGTGTAGGCTTGCTACTGTTTTGTTGCTGTTGCCCACTCATCAAACATCCCAACTGTATTTGAATTCCTGTGTTCCTTTTAATGAGAAGGGGATTTTTGTATTTAATGACAAGTTCATTTCTTGGGGTTTATTGGGAGACACATCTCGCCCCTCTGTGATCATGCTCTTGGTACAAAACATGCTTGGAGTAGGATGGTTTTATCTTGGGCTTGCCCCCAAATGTTCGGTGTGCCAGTGTCCAATCCTCCATATAGGCTGACTGTATCTGATTGTGTGTCAATCAGTAAAATCCTAGGAATGGATTTAATGATAAGTTCAAAAATCCTATTTTATTGAACATTTTGTAGTAACATTTATTCATCTGAAATTACTATTAACGTTCAAACCTTCCAAATGCCTTTTGGGGCTTCTGATATGTCACCAACTAAAGATTTGGATAATAGGGTGTCCTGGCTCAATAGGAAATGTACAACTGGATGAGGCAAACTTGGCAGTGGTGGTTGAAACCAAGTCAGTTTGTGTCATTCCCTTATTACCTAGTGGTCCATCGATTGCTGAAGCACATGACAATGCTATAAATCTTGGCTGACCTAAATCATGTCGTCTGCACAGGAAGTGGAGATGTTGCAGGTCTCCTTTAAGAAGGAACTGGAGAAGGCTCGTTGTATGATGGCTCAGCAAAGTCAGAGGCTGGAGAGCACCCAAAAAAAAATAATGGAGCTGGAGGCACAGCTGGCCAAAAAGGAACTGCTCTTCCAAGAACAGAAGAAGTTTCTGGAAGATATCAAAGTCAAGAACCGGTAACGATTGTGAATTTGATCTGCATGTGTTTGTACAGCTATCCTGGTTACTGTATCCCATGGATTTGTTCTGTTAGCTAAGCCATTTTCTGTGCCAGTGTGTAGTGTCATCTCTGCTTCCCTCACCCTTCACCACCACTGCTGTTCCCAACCACAAACTATAAAGTTGCGGCACCAACAGATGATATCCAACATTACAGCTTAGCTAGAAAGGAAATTGACTTATTCCAAAGTTGCAGATGGAAAATTCCATGACTAAAAGCAACCAATCAGAATTTGCTTCCTTAAAGCCAAGCCAAGTAAGAGATGATTCTTAATAGTTTACTATGGGTACTGCCCACACTCTTGTGGGGTTTTTGCTAAACATGCCTGATGCACCTGTTATTTGACAGGCCTGCTTATGTATTTTAAAATCAAACAAATACAACCTATAATGCAGTGATTTAAGAAGCAGTCATATTATTAGTTGGTCTTTAAATTCAATATGTAAACAGCAAATCATTTTCTGGTATCTTTCTCCTTGGCTCTTAGAGGGCAGTTACAAGCGGTGGAGAGCAAGTACAATGCTCAGAAAAAAATAAGCCAGTCTTTTGAGAGAGAAATCCTGTCTCTGTACTGCCAGCTGGAGAGGGAAGGTCTGTTGAAGAAACGGATGGAAGAGAAAGCAGAAACTGCAGAAGTTGCAGAAGAAAGGTGAATGCAAATAAGCTAAACAGAAAAAAAACTTTGCCCTTTGGTGTAAGATAAGTAATGATAAATCAAGTGTAAGGCAGTGGCACTCTATCAGAATGCAAGACAGATTCAATACAAATTCAGGTGCTCTATCCCTTCAAACCTATTTAATAATAAATATACATTTAAAAAAGTGACACATGTGCAATACAATAAAGTACAAATCTCATAAGTGACAGTGCAAGCCACTGTATATAGGAAATGTCCGTAAAGTCACCTGGTGCTTTCAAAATCACTCCATAAAATGTCCCTAAATTGAACTTGTGCTTTTAAAATCATTCCAGTGACGAGGTGCTGCACTATTGGGCCTCTTCCTTCTGATAGCATATGATCATTTGGAGGAGAGCTACAATATTTATACTGAGCTATGAGGGTGCCACTGGATGCAGCTGCAGGTGTGATGGGTTCTAAAAGAAGTGGGGTGTTTAGGTAGTGGGTGTGGGAAGGAAGGGGGTGGGCTGCAGATGCAGTGCAGGTTTGATTAAGAGCACAGTGAGAGACTTCCTAAGGCTAAATGTACACTTGTTGGGGGTAGCTTTAAAAACGGCAGTTGCACCACATTTTTACTGCTCCCCCTTGCACTACACCCTTGCACTACAAAGGCAGCAAGATGGGGTTTATATAATTGTCATGGCAACAGTTATATCTACTGTCACATTCGGTAGGCAATTTCGCCTGCTAGTCACGACCCATTGAAGTGAATGGGGCCAAGCCACAACCGCGTGCAATACATAAGGTTGTGGTGCAGGCTTTTAGGGGTTTAAACAGGGAGTAAGGAGGTGCCATACGCTGGCTGATGTTGCAGAAAGTGGAGTTGGGTGAGGGGGTCCGCTGACGTAGAGATTTAGTGCAGGAGGGTAGTGTGCACTAAGCAGCATCTACAAAGATGCTGATGGGAGAGTTCCCTCCCTGCACTGAGCCTGCCCTTTTCTCTGCCGATGAGGCCTCGGGATTCTAACAAAGACAGACTGCCTAGTAGGCAGGTTTGCTGTCACCTGCCTGCCTGCTCTCTAAAGGAGACGGCTGCAACGGTAGGGAGACTGTTGACAGACCCCCTAGGCCTGCAGATTTTCGCAGGGGAAGAAGCCGATTTTGTGCAGGGGGGGGAGCTCTCCTCTGTCATCCAGGCAATATCAGTAGGGAAAGGGAGAGTTTTGTACAGGACAGGAGTGCTTCTATAAATCATCTATGCCTTTACTGATATTGCCATCAGCCAGCAGAGAGGTATGTGTGCAAGAAGGAATCCCTGCAGTCAAAGTGATGTCTCTACCTATGTATGCTTCTATACTCTGTAACCAGACTGCACAAAACAGCCAGACTTAATAGCAAAGCAGCAGCGGGGCTCGGGAGTGGGTTGCTCCTGTTGTGCTCTCCTCACATCCAGCAGATAGAAGTGCACGATCTCTGGAGACTGGCAGGGGCAGAGGAAGGATCTGTGAGGGGAACTACTGGTGGTGCTGGTAGAAGCAGAAAAGCAGGCACATCTGCTTGGATGGGAGGTGTGACTGACCAAGAGGGTTGCACTGGAATTTTCTTACAGCCTGACTGGCCAATTGAAAGGAAGAGGTGGGGGGTGGATGTGGAGAACTCATTATTGATGGCAGAATCCCCCAGTGGCAGAATGAAACTCTGACAAAGGCATTGTCTGCAATATCAATCTGTGCTGAGAAAACAAAATGCCCTGTGAGGGTTCACAAGAAAGTGCCAGAAGCCCCAGTGACATCAGGACTGAGGTCAGGATAGTGAAAGAGCAGCTGTAGTATAGATTCAGGTTGAGAATGCCTCAAACACTTCCAGAAGTGCGAGAGGGTGAAGAAAACTGCAGCGCCTCTTAGTGAGAAATAGGGGGACTGAATGTCACATGAGAAGGGAATCCTCCTGCACTAATGTCTTACATTTTAATGATGTGTTCAGCTGATGAAAGTTCTGACAGGATCACTTGAGATCATGCCGGAGTTGGGATTACTTTAAATCAAAGCTTGCTATTTATTTGAAATGTGAATTTTCCTTTTATTCTTTTGTGGTGTTGCAGACATGATGTGGATTGCCCAGCAGTTTCCAGTCCTGATGATTCCATCAGAGAAGAGCTGAATGGTAGCAATGATGCCAACCCTTCCATGCACACCAGTGTCTTAAGCAGCGGAGGAAGCAGTCGCAGTGGAAGCAGTCGCAGTGGAAGCAGTCGCAGTGGAAGCAGTCGCAGTGGAAGCAGTCGCAGTGGAAGCAGTCGCAGTGGAAGCAGCAGCAACCTGTCCACACCAGAGAAAGGGGGATCTAATCCACCGCTTAGTAGGAGAGAGCTGCTGGAGCTACCTTCTGGAGGTCCTGTGACTGTTGGTTCTTATCCAAATGCCAAGAGTTTACTAGGCATCCGGGCCCGGGAACTGTTTCGTAACAAAAGCGAGAGCCATTGTGATGAGGAAGGGATCAGCAGTCTCTCGGAGATCCTGAAGACCGAGCTATGTCAGGGACCTGGATCTGAGGCCAGAGCTGTGAGCTCATCCGCTGTTAATCCTGGCCCCTCAAGTGTGCGGGATTTCCAGATAATGGACTATGATTAGACACATCATGACCACAGTTGGGAGGCGAGCAGTGTTACTTTCCCTCTCACTACGGTCTCTAATCAAAAGGTATCTGAACTTTCAGGAAAAGTTTCACTACTTCTGCAGCGCAACAGTAGCGGACCATCAGAACTGGAAGGGATGAAATCTCATTACGTCACACCCCACTTTTTTTCCTTCCCCCCCCCCCCATCATCTCAACTACAGCCCAACTTCCCCTTCCACAGTAAACCTTTTTTTCTTCCACTCTTCTCTGTAAAATTTAGACCCAACATTGGCTAAATAATGCGGGTTCCCTGGTCCAAGCACATACATTTTTCCTACACTGTCCAGTCCGAACTAAGACCGTAGCCCTGTTTGGATGTCATGACTTGTATCCATGTGCTGGTCTTGCTCACTGGGATGAGAGATTTCAGTGATCATGGATATTATTTTTTTTTCTCTAATCCGGGCAGCCTGAATATTTACATACTGCAAGGAACATTATATTTGTCAACAATGCCATGTTCATCCTCCAAGTGATGAGATCTCATCCAGCGTCTTCTAGCCCTCCCCTCTTTCCTGGCGCTGGAAAATGGCAGCTTAGCCCAGCATAATGCTTGTTAGAAGTGGCCTTAAATTTTTAGTTGGATGCCAAAATGTCACAAGGGACCAACCGCTTTTTTTTCTGGGTTTATCTTCAATCACAAGACACTTTATTTTCTGCCACACAACCAAGTTAAAGCAAACCCTTGCTTTGTCCATTCAGGGAACGCAAGAGGTTCACTGTAATAGCTGCATATACATGCTGTAGCCTCACTCTTCCACTGTACTGATCAGCCACTGGGAGAAAAGGAAAATACTGGGTACTTCTAGGTATGAAGAAGCATGTGACTGGTACTTTCTCACATGCTCTGAGACTTGTAGGGTAGCCTCTCTGCACTCAATGTTTTCACATTGGTGTGGGGAAAGGCTCCTCATCCCCTGTAAAATCCAAGTCTTGATTTGCAGCTTTTCACAGGGTTTCTTCTCTGTGCACCAGGTTGACTGTACAGTGCAGAAAGGCAAGTGTGGACCGCTAGCAATACCAGCATTAGAGTGAACATTTTGCTTTGCTGTGTTATGGGCAAGGCACAGGTTAAGGTTCTTTTATGAACTACTTTCTCTTGTCTGAGTTAAAGGGGCCTAGGTCACCCCATGGTTTCTTGTATCTCTGTGACTCCGGTGACTATTGTAGGGTTTTTTGTTTTTTTTTCTTCTTGGAGTCTGGTTGCTCCTTCTGTCTCCTAGGTCTGGCTTCATTCTTCATAATATACAGAAAGTAAAAATTCTCTAACGTGGAGCAACAGATTCTTGTAAATAGCTTGAGGGGTTGTTCAGGGATGTAGATTCTGAAAGATATGAGAAGCCACTGGTTCCAGAGTAGATGTACCAATTTTGTGTGGACCTGCCCAGTAATTGTGGCCTGTTTCTTTGCAACAAGCTGAGTTAGCATTTTGGTTCCTCTGTCATTTCATTCTGCAGTAAGCCCTAGGGCAGAGAAAGAAGCCATTCAAAAACTAGGAACAGATTCAAGGCATTTAGTTGTACATTAAGCGCTTAAGGTTTTTGATGCACTTTGACACACTTTTTGATTTAGACACTACATTTTGAAACCGCTTAGATAACTCTTGGCCCTATGTATGATTAAATCTGTAGAAAAAGCAGTTATTTCTCATATGTCAGGTTTGTTTTTTGTTTTTTTTTCTTTTCAAACCTGCAGGTTAAGAGAGAAACCTGGAAATTGGTACTACACTAAAACACACTATTACATTTTTTTAAATGTCAATAATCCACCAATATGCCAGAGAGCATTAGAAGCTGGTTTCAGTTATATCCATAGGCCCCTCTGTTCCCTAAAGATGTTTCAGTATATCTCACACACACCTTATGCATTGAGGCAGTGCAATGAGGATGTAGTCTCTCCTGAGCTGCAGGACCTGTTGCTTTTGACCTGTATATTTAAAGTGAACCTGTTGTGTTTGCTGAGGTGTGCAGACACCTTGTGTTATCGAATATCTGTTCTCGTCCTCAGATCTGTGGCATTGTGTCTGGGATCTTAGGCCCAGGTTTTATATAGGGTCTTGATATATGGCCCAGTGTATATAAAGCCCTTTTTTTTTGCTTGGCTATGAACCCACCCTGTGTTGTTCAACTGTGAAATGGCAGAGCATTCTACTGGCTGCTGAGGCTCAAGGATTTGACAGCCGAATGACAGGGGGACATGGTTTTAGTATGTGAAGGGGGGGCTCAGGCTTAATCTAAATCGAAGTCATTAACACAGACACTGATCTGAAAACAAGTGCAGATACCTGATGTCTGTTAAGTAGCTGTTTTTTTTCGTAATCTGCAGGTAACTAGTGTCTTGACCTGAAGACAAAGGCAAGCACCTGGTAATGTTGGCCTTTACACTTTAAAGTCAACTTTTCATGTTCCTCAAAGTGGAGCTTTTGCCAGAACTTTGTGCTTGTTTTGTGTAGGTGGGGGGAAGGGTTGGAAACCCTTTACAGATGTCTATTGCTTTCTCTGCCTATACTGAGGTGAATTCCCTCGACTTACACTTACCATACACCCAACAATGGCATGGTGGTAAGTGTGTCTACAGAAAGCATTACATACCTCACTGTATACTAACTAGTGATATTGAATCCCAAAAAAATGCCTGGGCTGAAGATCTCCTCTTTAAAGCCTAACTCTAGCTCTCTTGTCACTTGAAAATAGTTTGGACCAAGCTGGTCCAAACAAACTATTACCTTCACTATCAGATGTGCCCACTGGGAAGGCTATATAAAGTCTAAGTGTAAGTATACAGTGCTGTCCCACTCTGGGAGCAAAATGGTCAGTCTGAGCATGCTCAGCCATTCACTGGAAGCCTTGTATTTTACTAACTAATAAAAAGCTTCCTCTGGCTGAGATGAAGAGGCAGGCTGATTGTCACAATCTCTACCTCAGCCAATCAGAGGAAACCTCATTCAGAAAGTACAAAGCTCCCTCTGAATTCCTGAGCAGCGCTCAGTCCAAGTCGTTTTTTGGGAGATTTATTTTGTGTGTTCTGGGAGTGGGACAAGAATTCCCAGTCATGCTGCCAGAACATAGCATTGTATACTGTATATAGCTAATGCTACATATAATTTATACAGCTACAACGGCATACGTATCTGTTAGTGAAAGTTGGTTTGGTCCAAAAGATCTGTGTTAAGGTGACAGCTGGATTTCTGCTTTAAATGAAGTTGTGTCCCCTTACTGTGTTCTTGGCACATGAACCCCAGGAGCACATGAACCCCAGGAGCACATGAACCCCAGGAGCACATGAACCCCAGGAGCACATGAACCCCAGGAGCACATGAACCCCAGGAGCACACGCTATTGGAAATCTTAAACTTCTAAATTCTGTGCCACTCACTTCTTCCTTTGGCATATGTCATTCCAATGCGAGCATCACCTCGTGTGCTGATGACCACCTCGTGATGTTTATTTTTCAGGAATGATCTTAGCAAAGTACTGCAAAATTGAAACGGTCATTTAAGTATGCATTAAATGGCTTTGGGTCTCCAGGAGTTGCTTCCTTTTTACATATCCTTATTGCCACTTGACCTGCCTTGATGGATAAGCCTGATAGCAATTTTGTTTAAGCCGTTTTCTAAACCGTTTAAAATGGATTGCAAAATCTTGCTGGACACGTCTCAAGTGTGTGTGGTTTTTTGTTTTTTTTCCTTTTTTTTTATTTTTTCTCATTGAGGTAATTTCTTTCTGAAGGTCCACCATCCAGGCTAGACAAGTTGCATTTGCCGCTTGTAACTGTCACAATCTCCCAGTGATAGTTGGAGGTGGAAAAATGTCTACGCTGGGAATTCAGTTGTTCTTTCAGATGAATATAACATAGGCGGCCCACTGTCCTCCTTCTTCTTTTTTTTTTTTTTTTCCCCAAAGATTAGACCAGTTTATGCAGTCAATGTAATAGGAGTCCTCACAGAGCTGCCAGTTATTATCAAAACCTTGCAGATATCCAGTCACAATTGTTTTTCACTGTTAAAATGAGCCCAGAACATGCCAGACTAATTTCCTCCTCTAATGAAGTGTCCCATCCAGCCTTCCTCTGCACTTTGGGTTAGTTGTAAATGGCCCTAATGCCTGATAGCCAGCAAAGATAGCTTGTCCTCCTTTCTGCATCCTAAGGCAATCAGATGATGCCAGTTTTAGTAGGGTTGGTTCATAACCAAAATTATGGCAGCTCTCAGGAATGCTTATTTGGATGTCTTGGAGTGGACCTTAGCCCAGTTTCTTTGGCAGCAACAACAGTAAGGATGACAGGCTGTCTGAGTTGGTTGTCAGGTTCTCAACCACCAGCCTGACTTTTTTACAGGTATAGTGCAGTTGAACAAAGAAATCAGTTCTGGCTGAAATACCTCAGTATGATCATATTCATGCTGTATTTTGGTTTTTTGTTTTTTTTTTTTTTTGCACTGGACCTTCAAATGTTGACTGAATACTTCACATGATTGGAAGATACATACTGCAGTTCAACCTTTTTTTTTCTGCTTGGATATAATTTTGTATATTGCCACCTTATTCAAGTGACCATGTTCAAGCATTCACAATTGCTTTCTCAGCTGTATGCTAATTGCGAGTCA